CAGAGCTAGTTATAGTCCCAGCACCGTCTCGTCACAACCAGCGTGGTAGGTGCTCCTTAATGCGCTTCGACAGTTGTCGCGCCGTTCGACGGATGTAAGTAGCGCCACAGGCGCACTCAAACTGATAAATGACCATGGAAACGGTCAGCGTCGGTAACTTGTATTTGTTGTGAAGACGAATGAGTGGCTCCGTTGAAAAGGTACACCTAAGCTTGGCTGCTGGAAAAGTTGACTTGACAGCTGTTGAAAGGCTCCTACTTACACGCTCAGCAGCGGCATCTCCCTTGAAGGGTAGTCGTATGAAAAGTTCTTTTTTCTCTGCTATCTGAAGTTGCGACAGGTCGGGCTTATTTTGTGTGTTCCTAAAAACGAAACGAACAGGATATCCGTTTTCGCGCAGCAAATTCTGAATGAACGGCAACTCATTATCCAACTTGTCTTCAGAACAGATCCTGCGGGCTCTTGTGGCTAGACAGAGAATTAGGTTTCGCTTATTTCTCAACGAAACGAAACTGTGGAGGTTCGTGTCCTAGCCGCTCCAGGTTTTCTTCCTGTAGACCTGACGTTTGATCGAGCCGTCTGCCCTTCTAGTTAACAGGGCATCAATTCTTTTTCGTAGGTAAACTGCAATGGTGCGTGGGCCCGATTAAAACGTTCAGTAATAGCGTCAAAGTCAACAGACTGATCGGCCATGACAAATGTGTCGTACGTATAGCGATGTTAACATTCAAAGGCTTTGATCTCCGCATGTAATTTGGTATTCTCTAATTTCGCCATGAAGACATCAGCTAACAAAGACCCAATGGCGATTCTATAGCTACACCATCCTTTTGTCGGTAGTAAGTGCCATTGAATAGGAACTGTACGTTCCAAGTGCAACGCAAAAAGAGGCTTTTCAAGTCAAACAACGGTATGCACATACTTGTTTGTGTTTCTTCTATGTAGGAGCAAAGGTAATCGATCGTCTTGAAAAGTGGCATGTTGGTGAAGTGCGATACAACATCTAAGGAAAACATTCCCTTCTTACCGATGTTACGGTCTTTAATGCTTTCAATGAAATGAAAGGCTTCACGGAGGCTGTAGTGTGTAACTCGCTGTCTTACCGGTTCTAGAATTTCCATAAGCCATTGTGCGACAGCATGTTAGGACGCGTTAACTATTGATAAGATCGGGCGAAGCGGGACATCTATCTTATGTATTTTCGGTAACCCATAAAGCCTCGGGATATTCGTGCCACTTGGCTTAAGGCTATCGTAAAGTGTATTTGATATATGCCCACTATTCCGAAGATCTTGCAAGCTTTTAATAATCTAGTTCTCAATCCACTTTGTTTGGTCCTTTTCTCCAGTCGTTCGGGAAAATTCCGATTCCTTACTCAGAACCTTTTCGAGCTTGTTTATATAGTCTTCTTTGTCTAATAGAACGACTCCGGTACCCTTGTCCGGTTTGCTCAGAACGATATTACCATTGTGTCGTAAATACTTCAGCGCGTCAAGCTGCTTGCGTGTCAGTGGACCGTGTTTGGACATGGCAGTTGCGATACTGGTAGTAAGTGCTTACCAGAGAACACTTAAAGCGCTCCAGGTCTTCATTTGACTTTGCTACTAGCCCTTTTGTTTGGCCAAAGAGGATTTCAAACTGTAACTCATAGTGACACTGATTGTCTTTGTGTTTGGGGGCGTAGAACTTTGAACCAAGTGATAAAAACTTCCATTAAAATGGAGTTCAACTTCATACTTGAAAAACTGTGCACGTAGCTCTCATGTCTATTAGGGAAAGTAGATTGCGGCTTATGCTGGTTCAATGTCTTTGTTAGGGCCAAACGCCTTTGCCATACACGGTTGCAGTGATAGACTGAACGTAATCCAAGAATGTTTGTTTCACGTCCAATGCTAACTCGTCAATCACATGTTGACGTTGCGCCATATTGCGCTCGAATTCGGAACTCTTGGATTGCACCCCGTCACGCAGTTTCAAACTATGACGTCTAAGCGTTTCGGCATTCGGATAGATCCGACTGCGGCGCAATTGCTTCAGAATCTGCTGAGATATTCATTGCGTTCAATGCAATCATTGAAAAATTGTACACAAGTTTTAGCTTCGGCAAGCCTAGTAGAGAACTTAAGGAACTGATTTAGATCCTTCACAGGTGAGGGCGGCTTGGACGAGTTCAGTAACTGGAAAATTCCCATTTCATTATCAAGAACGAAAGACCTAAGGTAAACAATTGTTTTCGATGATTCATCTTCAGACCCGTACGACCATATGAGTGAAATAGTCCATTGCTATTTCACTCATGATTGTACGGGTCTGAAGATGAATTATCGAAAACAATCGTTTACTTTCGGTCTTTTGTTCCTGATAATGCAAGTTATTGACCTCCCTGAACATGACTTTATTCCTAAGAAACAGTCTACCTAGATGTTAGAATTGTAAAAGTTGAATATACATTCATAAAATCAGCTGCTTACTGGCATCGTGCAATAACGATGGGGGTGACTGGAATGATCCTGCACGCTGAATACCACATTGATCACTTCATCCTTGAACCTTTTTCAGGCCTAAGGGTTGATTTCAGGAATAGCGCGCACACAGGGCACGAATCTAGTTTACAGTAGTAAACTTTTCAGGTTATGTGCACCGTTAATTTCCACGAAAGCAATCTGTTACCGGGGGAATCTCTTACCCAGAAAGCGTGACATAAGCAAGTGTATTGGCTAGTAGCGAGACATCGTTTGAACTTGAGAGTCTAAGAGGAACCGCTGGGTCAGAGATATGTTTCACAACTAGGAAGAGTTTCTACGACTTCGTAATACAACCAGTCCTTTGAATAAGTATCACATTCTTCGAAAGATTAAAAAAATGAGGGTGTGCGATATATTCCTAATATCTACCAGAATACTTAGAAAATTTACGCTTTAAACCCAAAAGAAGAAAATCGACAACCATTAACTACTTCATGCACCTCAAGTTGTTCTTATGCGCAACAGAGGACCATGTTTCAACATAAACTGCAGCAGCTAACCTCAGCATGGAAGGTGCATAGTCACACACCACTTCGCTGCCTATTCTATGCTACTTTGGGATACGGCGGTGTTCAAAAAGAAACCATACTTTTAAAGTAGCACGGCAACCGACAGAGAGAGCGCGTTGCGGCTACTGAGCGCATGGGTAGGCTTGCTTAAACGACAAAATGCCATTTGCCACATTTCGCTCTGACTGTTGGTTGGGAAAGCCACAGCCGCTAAAACGAGCACGTGTATAGACGGTTCGTAGGATTAGTGCCAACGAGACAATGAAAGAGATTGAATGACAACGTGTGTGTGTGCAAATTTGCTGCAAACTTGACAAAACTTCCCGTTTCAAATTACTTTACCTAGCATACAGAAAGGATTGTAGGAGTTGCACGCAGAGCTATGAGTGGTTTAAATTTTTGGAAACTGCAGAGTGTCGGTCGGTGACGATCCCAAGGGTGGACGACATTCCACATCAACAAACGAGGACCATGCCGAGATAGTTCGTGCTGTGATCCGTGGAAATCATCATTTAACTGTTCGAGAATTCGCTGACGAATTGGAAATCAGTGTAGGAACATGTCATCAATTTCTAGCGCGTTTGTAGGATGATGTGCACAGGAAAATGCCCGAACTGTGGGGCAACCAGACTTGGTTGCTGCATCATGAGATTGCGCTAGCTCACGTATCGCTCCTTTACTGCAGCTATCTAGCAAAACATCACACCCCGTAGTACCTCATCCATTGGATTCTCTGGCCCTAGCCCCTGCAGACATTTTTCCTTTTCATAAACTTAAACCCAGGTTGTAAGGAGGTCAGTTTTAAACCACAGAGGTGATTCAGTACAAAACGACAAGAGACCTGCGCGCCATCTTAGCAAGTGAGTTCCAGAAGGTTATCCAACATTTGAAGCACCGTTGTGAACGGTGTATTGACAGCAGAGGGGACTACTTTGAGCGGGAAAGTGTTTAAAATCTTATTTTACGTGCATTAAAGATGTTATAGCAAATTTTGGACTACTTCTTGAACACCTCTCGTATAGTAATTATCCCTTCAAGCCGGATTTAGATGTCACCTAAACCTGAGGAGACGGTACAAAAGTGAGTATTCTTGTTTTTACTTTTTTCATGGAGTACAACTATGACTGCCCCATGTTGCTTCGTAGTTCGCATACAATTCCCACTTACACTACTATTATTCAGCGGTGTGGCTGCTTGACAAATACTCAAACAGACACCTCATATATCTTTTGGTATTGTAGTTTTACCTCTATCATTCTGCATGGCATATCAAGCAACTGTATTTGTACCCGGCAGTTCATTGTTCAGCCAAACGATTCGCGTACGCAGTCTGTTGTCTTGCACTGCTCATAAGACTATAAGTTTAGTTAGAGTTTTAGCCAATGAAATCAGACTGACACATATTGTCAACTAAGTCGAATTGTATCATGGCGACTTCCTGTCCAAAAACCCTTGGAAATGGCTAATACTCTCCATGGTATTCATCAAACATGAACTAAGACACCGGAGTTTTACAGGAATGTGAGAATCTGTAGACGAGTACAATATGTTCGTGTGGAATGGAAAATAATGCAGACTAGTGAGAGTACAAACAGAAGAAAATAATTAAGTCACTTTAGTATCCAAACATTTGGCAGCAATGATTGACACATCAAGGGAACTGTGAGATTGTTGTACCTAACGGCAATCTGTCGCCCGGAAACGCGCATTTTTTTCTGAATTTGCATCACCTCAGTTTGCTGGTATTTTTGACTCGACAGACCAGATGAAGTTATGAGGGAATGTACCTTAATTCCCCGAAATCATCCCTGGATAAGGCGAATGATAGTTGACGTTGAACACCACATTCAGTTTGAATAAAGGGAACCCGAGCGTTTGCAGAAGAGCAAAGTGCGTTCTAGAAAGGCGTGAAAGGTAACCCTGAGTAGTATGCAGTCCAGGGCCTGGATAACGGTGTATAGCGTGTTCACCTGGAATGAGTCTTCAGCAAAGTGAACAAAGTACTGACATCCGCTCCTTCTAGCCGCGCAACGACTTCTGCCTGTTTGATGAAGATGAATGTTGGATAATCGTCCAGCCTGAATGTTTCAGCGGTTTCCTACAAAAGCGTTAACAATGGCAGATGGTTTAAAATATTTGTGATGGCAGCGAAATCGTGTACACTCTACGTATGCTTAAATGGAGCGATAGGAAGGCAACTTCGCAATTTGCATTTAACTGGACGGCTAAGGACACACCATTGACTTTACAGCCACTCACTAATCACATGAACTTTTGCTATTTGCTGGAACACCAAGCGGTATTCCATGCCCAAATAAAAGCGAAACGCTGATTCATTCATCTACGCTCGATAAGCCTGTGTGCAGCGATGCGAGGTCGCTGATCGAACTGCGGTCCATACAGTGAAATATTTAGAACCATGCCTGGTTTGACTAGGCTACTCTAATGAGTAGAACGGGGTGTAGCCGTGACGATTGGTGGCCAAATGATAAGACGTGGGTGGGAAGCGATTAGTATGGGAAAACCGTTGTGACAAATCGCGCTCATGCGCTCATTTCATCGCAGAAAGCAAACACTATAAAATAAACGGACAACCAATGCTTTACATTTTATCTAATATAAAAATGTTAGCTAAAGCGGAAACACCTTCATACTGACACAAAATGTGCAAAAATGCTTTGGGTGCAAAATGAAAGCCTTCATCCATATTAAAGCGAGTGATCATAACCCAAGCGACTTGCATCCTTTTGCGTCCAGTGAAAACAGACTTCTAGAAACATGTGATTTCCAGTTGCTACTTCATTTTGTGCTAACAAAGCCAGCTGACTATCGTTAAAGTCTTAGGAACTTAGTGTGCGCAGATGCAAGTAAGTGGAATGATGATCACATGCGAGGTATGCTAAACACATGTTCAACTCACGGCATTTTCGTCAATGTCCACTTCAGCAAAGATGACGCCGGTAAACCGCCTCGTCATTCTACGAAAAATCAGGCTACTGGAGCGACACGGGGCGCTCCAGGTAGCGTAGAAGTTTATAACAACGAGGTTCCCCCCAGCGCGTTTGATAAGTTGGTGGAGGTCATCCTGCAGTAAAATGAACAGGTGGTGGATAAGAACAGAGTGACTCCGAAACGCTGCTAGATTCAGATTTGTGCTGTACAGGTTTCAGCGTAATACTTTCATCAGTGGGCTGTATAGATGGATAAAGGAATACCCGGAAAAATGAACGGCTGATATGCTAATGATAAAACCATTGTTTCGCAAGTAAAAGGGGTGCATTATTTGAAGATGTAGTTCTCGCATAGGCCGCTTGTCTGCTTTTCCAGCATATTCATTTTACGTATCTCAAGCAGTGTAGCGAAAGTGCGTACAACTTGTTTTGTTGGATGTATTAAAACGGTTGACAAGCCAGTCGAACTTATCACCAATCTGGAAAAGCACTTTACGGCTGTTTTGCCCTAATGAAGCTAGTTTGTGCTGCACATCATCCGGTTCTATCGGAAGCCGGATCAGTGCTTACTAGCTTCAATCGCCGGTGGCAAACCTTCTACGCCACGGAGTTATGGGGGAAGGCGGCAGCAAAGTAGGATTTGCTGGCTAAGTGTGAAGTAGTGCGATCGATTCTCTATTGCCGTGCAGTTCACTAATTTGCAAATGGTAGTGGCTGGCCTCTATGGAATAACGAATTCCGGTGATAACATATGTATAAGCACAACGTTTAATGGTTGTTAGGAGGTATTGCCGGGTAACAACGAATCCAGTAAAATTTCGTTAAAATTGCCATACTCAGTGCACACATATTTTGCCCTTATTAGAGAATGGTAGGGGAATTTGTTGCAGTCTTGAGAAAATTCGTCGCAGCTAGCTGCCATACAGTCATTACACATCCCAGTGGATGTCAGGCTGAAGCAAACTGCGACGCATTTTTTCAAATGCGCACTATAATAACCTTCAAACTCTATGCGTACCTGACTGCAGTTGCAGGAAGTTGTGATCTTATGATGGTCAGTCACAGTCAGCTTCAAGGTTTGTGAAGTCAATGGCCGGTGGCCGAGTGGTATGCACGTTTGGTTTGCAACCATAAAGTCACCGGTTCGATTCCGCGTAGGGGTGGACGTCCTCGTGGTATACTCAGCCCGCGCGCGACTGGTGGTTGTCGCGGGTCAGCGAAACGCAGTTTCGGCGTACAACGGAAGTCAACAGAGGATGGGTCGCTGTATCACAGTTAGTGTTACAACTGTAGAGATCGAAAGAATGCCACTTCACTAGACTAACACATGATATGGTGGCGGAAAAGGGGGCGGTGGGCAGGAGAAGTTGTACAGACACAGTTTAGCTAGGTTTGGGATGTAAACATGGTAATGCAATTGGCTAAAAATAAATGAAACTAATCGTATCAATGTGACAGTTTGCCTCCGATTATCGGTTAAGCAGCAACCAATACAATCACATTATAAGCGTAATATAGCAACATTAAGATCAACGGTTGTTGGAAAGCACCCGTTTGCAGTGCTAAAGTTAAAACTAATATTATGAAAAAGCGACTGTTTGTCGTTGGTCAAACTCAAATAAATTTTGCGATCAGGAAGGTAAGGAAAAGCAAGCTACACAGCTGTTGTCAGTAGTATAACTCATGGCTGTTTATTTCACATTTCGCACAGAGGGTGATGTATACAACTTCAAAGTCCAACGTCCTAATTGCCAGTTATTAAAATTTCATAATGCATAAATTGCTGACTAGTTTGTAACTAGTGATCACATCGTTCCCAACACGAGCTGAGCTGAGAACTGTCCTGACGGCGCACATCTTCAAACATAACTACGTGGAGACAATCGTATGCTTGTCAGGGAATTGGGAATTGGGAATTGAGAGTATTTAGCGGACGGTATCGCCGATTGTGCGACTACCTATACTTGATTTCACACATTTTCAGTCATGTGTGCAGTCGTTTACTGCAATTCATCAGATACATAAATTTGGTAGGTCACCCGTTGATTGCGGTAAAAATTTCCTTTTTATTCGAGTGTGTCGCTGATGGAATGTTCTCTTCTAATCGGTCGGTTGTGCGCCTTCAATATCCATATCGGTTAGATGACTCACTCAGCCAAGTACATTATGGATCTTAGCACTACGACCACGAATTTCCTGCACCACTTCGCTACCAGCAGCGATCAAGGAACTCCCAGGGGCGATGAACTAGTCAGAATGGGCGTCACTTACGAGGATTAACATAGGGCATCACGTGTGGATGAATGTTAAGCAAATACCAACGCACTCTCCGTAATTAAGCCGTAGCTCAGTCTTATGGAATAAACACTGTATAAGCGAAATCGACCCAATGGACAACACTGCTATATGTTACTCCTTTGATCTCACTTTGACCCACAAAAGCATGTTGGGAAAATATATATCGTCCAGGAATGTAGGTTTTTTCACATGTAGATCTCTGCAAAGAATATGCAAATAGTGTGAACTGGAGTAGCGATATGATCCAACTAAATAAATCCAGCAGTTGGTGGACACTGAGTGGCGCTAGTCAAAATGATTTGATACAGCGTAGGCACAAGGATATGCGACGATAATTGAAAAGTAAATCCGGTCTTAGTGAGAGCACGGATAGAGTACGGAAGGACATCAACGTTGCCTATCTCTCTTTGGTCATCCCTTATCTCATGCGTTTTCTGCGAGACCCAGACTCTGTTATTTTACACGCAACCAGCCGATTTGCAATATAATGAGGTTTCCGTTTATTCCCCAATAAAAGCCCTTTTTGTTTCATGTATTTCAGTTACCTGCCAGCACAACACTGGCCTACTACTCGATCATTTTGGATCCACTCTGTCACATCGTGTCGTCTCACTGGGTGTACGGTTGTTCATCTCAAATTAATGAGTACCATCTCTCGACATCATTATGTCATGAGCACTTCCAGTGCCTCTTACATTTCTCCGGAATTTTAAATCACTGGCAATGTATACTCAAAATCCATAGGCACCACGTTGCGTCCTTCCAACCGTCTAATAGACTTTTGGGCTCACTCGAGTTAACATTTCAGCGGCGTTCAAATTAACCCTCGCTTGCCCGAAGCTAACATCGTGTAGAGCTGCTACAAGGTAACTTGAGTCTTCCAGCAGGGAACCCCACTCATTCTCTCGGCAGGTCCGCTCTTGAGTGATCTATACACCTACACGCAAACTTTGTACAATCATCTAATTGGGTGTGTAGCAAACGGGCAAGCCGATATGAATGAAAATTTGGGTACTTTTGCTGTTGATATCTAGCATTAGCAGCCTCACCCACTGGCTCGGGAGCCAAGAACCAAAGCGAAGTTCTATTGGTGTAAGCACCACCGCTTTTCTGTGGTACATCATCAAGTATGCTAACAATTACCGGTGACATGTGGTAAGACTCTAAGATACAGAAAATTTTGTTGATTGTACGATGCTTAAGTGTCCAAGAATTAAACTCGACGTCAATAAGAGCAGGCAATTATAGGACCTGGACTAGTGGGAGGTTAGCACTAACCTACTTGGTGTTGCGGTTAAATTTACGAATACAGTGTGGTTCATGTGGCGCCTGAACTTTATGTATTCCGGAGAGCCCCGAATTCTACGCGTTATGTTGAACTGCATCACCGACGTTGCATCACCTCTGGTATCAGCACGTTGACCCAGAAATGGACACTGCTCCATCCGTGTCTTTCCCGATATCCCATTGGGCGAGCGTTAACGAATAAATCACAGCTTAGAAGATTAGCAGAAAGAATCTTTAGCTAGGAATATCTCTGTGCACGGCGTTCCTTAAACTGAAGCATGTGATGAGTATGAAATATTAACGTGCTGAGGAACAACCGTGTTATATTTATGAAATGCTCTCCTTGTACGTCGTACTGACGAAATCTGTGTCACAGCTGCGCATTTCACCGAGCTACAAAGAAGGTGGCACAAGAGTAATGAACGTTGGGTTTCAGTTAAAGGAATTGCAACCTAGTTGCTAAAAAGCTGGTAATTGTTTCCTTTCAGGCTCCCATCTGAACCACGACTGAAGGCAGCGAGCGATGTACCTCCCGAATAATCAAAAGCGATGGGAATATTTAAAAGCGAACAGTCCACAGCCAAGGTATATGACGCGTCCATATACCTTGGTAATGAAGAGAATGACCATATTACTTACGCTGTAAGTAGAAGGATAGATTTGGGATCACTTAAGTGGCACATAAATCTGACGTCGTAACAGTCACCAAAAACCCAACGACAAGACTACTAGTCACCGGTCAGTCACTGGTTGAGGAAATTTCATGTATGAATTTCACACTCCTACGCAATGCTGAAATAGCAGGTTCCATGTATGTACACCAAAGCGTAATGGCTCCTCAGTGGATCAACTGAACTTCAGCTGCATCAGGCTGCTAAGGCCTGGGACCTAATTTCCAGTACCGAAACCTGGTTGCGCTAAGAAGTTGCTGGTAATGAGGTCGAGATACCAAGAATGTCATTAGCCGGAGCTACCGTACCAGCAGGGAAGGTGGGGTTCTTCTGTACTACCGCAGTAACTTGAAATGTTCAGTAGCTGATGATCCGGAATCTCATGTTGTCGCCACATTCTGGTGCTACCGATTAAGAAACGATGACGTATGTCTAGTTGCTGTCGTTTATCGTCCACGTGCATCCACGTAGGAAATGGATTCCTGTCAGATACTCGCCCCATGCAGGGTACCACGTCCTAGGCACAGCCATATTCTCATCACAAGAGCTTTACATATGCACAACCTGGAGTTATCGGGATCTCCCAAGGAACGGTTTGAAGCCGACTTGCATGTTTTAATTGCTTACATTCCTTTACACAGTCATACCATCAAACCCACTTGATTCCGAATAACAAACAAACCCCCAATACCGGACTTTGTGCTCACAAATGAAGCGCCCATGGTCGACAAGTTGCTGAAGAGTCCGCTATGTCTCAGTGACAACATAGTTATGACATTTACCCATATTTCGTACACATAGTGTCCAACTGAACACACAGAAGTAATTTATACACTCACACGCTACCACACACTATCATAACGCCTGCGGGCATCCAC